TACATAAATATAAAAACGATATCTAGTAAAAGAATACTGTACAATAATAACAAATAACATACAAGCAAATCAATCATTTTTTCTGATTATTACGAGGCAGCTTGGTACAGTCTAAGTCTAAACCAATAATTAATGTAAAGGCGACGACAAGCAGCATTCCTGTAACTTGCAAAAAAATGCGTGTAACTTCTGTAATATGCATTATACTACTTGTGTGTTATGCGGGAACAAATTTGGCAGGAATTATTGCCGTATGTGTATTTTATACATAATGTATATTAATCTTGGAAGAATTGGAATTATGCCTTATAGATAAAATGTATCATAAAAATATATTCCATAATATATATATGGAAAATATTATGGAAAAAAAATTCGGAAGAGCATAATCTAATTAGCATTCATTTTTCATCATGTGTACATTGTCTGGGACATAGACACAATGCGTGAAAAAGTTAATGCTTTTATAATTAAAATAGATTATGAAAAATAACCATTACACTAATATTGTAACTAAAAACGTGTATGTAAAAATGACGGCAGCATAGGAATTGCGAGGAAAAAATGAATCATTAGTGGATATTATTAAGTGCTTCCCTCTTACAATTATTACGGCAGGAGAAATTACGATTATTAATTCTCTTTCGTAGAAAGAAATGTATAGATAGGAAAATATATTTTAGCATTTCTTTTATCATGAAAAACTGAATTGAATTGAATCTACGCACAAAATCGATATAGAAAAAGTATTGTGTACGATTCAACATCAATTCATATGATTACAATCCAATATGAATTGTTTAAGGATTCACTAATTATGTAATTTTAATATGAATTAAAAGAAATTATCTTTATTATTACATATGATATTATATAATTATCGTAAATTGAGTGACAAAAAAATCAACATTTGATTACATCTTACTAACAATGAAATAATGCATATCCTTCAACATAAATGTTTATGGAATTATCATCACATTATAGGTAATTTTAAACAGCAATTAATATATCATTATTGTGTTATACTTGTATAATCCCATTCACATCACTGCTCACGTTGTTATTTTTAATTTAGTTTATCTTTGCTACATGATATTAAGATATTTTAAGTTACATGTCGCATAAATCTATTACGATAAAGAATTTATATTATCAAAATTATGTATGCATCGGATGTATATATATTGATAAAAAAGAGAGAAAAGTGCTTGGCATTTATCTTTCGATTTTTAACAGCAATAAGCAGGCAAAAATTTACAAGTTGAACAACTTTCAAATTTACAAGTTCAACAACTTTCAGTGGCAAAGCTGGACACATTATACACATGTTATAAGAATGGTTTTTATTATCTATTTCTACAAAAAGTACACAATGTAGTTTAATGTTACGAGATATTGAAGATCTCAGAAGCAATTGATATAATAGAAGCCATTCTGTATAATTATATAGAAAAAAGTATGTGTCGAATAATTATCCAATTGTTTAGTTTTGCCCTATAAAGTTGACTCCAGGAGATCATACGCTAGAGAGAAACTTTCCCGCGAGTACCAGAGACTGAATTATGTAAAGGCAAATCCTTTACATTTTCCATTATTTGAGCATTTTATATGAGGCAAGATGTTTAACAACATAGGCAGGGAGATATATTTTTCAAATATGAAAATATATTGTACAAATATATAAAAAGAGAAAAGTTGTTTTAGTCAATTCAATGCATAGAGAATCATCAACCGATTATTAAGGGTTATTACGAGGGTGTATGTACAGTTTAGTGTTATAAAACCCCTTGTAAAACAAGTTAACACAAATCGCGAGATCGCACCTATTGAAATTTTCTTATAGCTGGCGAATTCTGCAATACTTTGCGCAATATAAATTATTATTCTTCATTTGTATCTCATTCTTGTGTTATTTACGCGCGATAATATTGTTTATGATATTTAAGATTAATTGAATTGATATCATTACAAATTCTCCAAATTTTATAAAATATTAAAAAAAAACTTGAAAATTGAAATTCAGATAAAAATTTATGGCAACGAAATCCTTAATACATTTTGTATAAATGTTTTATTATGTGTAATATTTGAAATCATAGA